ATCTAGGGTCTTGACCAAAATATTTTGTTTTAGTTTTATCGAAATTATCTCCTAATCATGGGACTTTATAGTCGTGGCTAAATTATCGTCTCTTTTGCTTTTTTTGCAATTTACGCGTGAAGTCCATATCAAGTATAATGTACAGCAGTCGAAATCGGTTTTTTTCTGGTTTTAAGCCTTTGTTTGATTCTTCACATTTTAACGCATGCTGCAAAACGAGAGAATCATCAACGAATTGATGCCTAAAATTTTAGCCAAACAGTTATTCTCTAAACTCTTCTTAATATGTAGGAAAAAGTCGTTCCTCCTTTTACAATGAGATGCGTTTTTTGGCATAGAAATCTTTTCCAGAAAACATCTAGCGACGTGGTTTTAACTATATGGTGCAAAAGTTTTTTCTAAAGAGTTAATATGACAGATTTTAAAACAGAGGAATGCAGAAGGAAAAAAAAGGTCGGTGAAGATTGAGGTCAAAATAGGAGTTGAAACCTCAAAAGAGATGTTTTGAATTTAATAGAAAGTAAACACCTCGATCAAGCTAATTACAAAAGGGTTAAAGGAACAAATCTCTTAACATTTCGGGTCTCTAGTATTCCACTTTATAGCCCTTGTTTTATTCACTATGGCTCAAACAGTACACTTCTTGCATGAGTGTTGCTTTCATATTTGCACTGTAATATTGGTATTGATAGTACAGTGGTTACGAGCGCCGTTGACTTTCGTTCGACGCAGGTTCGGTGGCGATTCGGGGTGCAAGTTTTGCGTCTATCCTCAAACCTATAGGAAAACTTCACGCCATGTTCGTAATTAGCTCAAGCCATGTTGGGAGCTGCATGAGTATGGCTCGTTCTGTTGTGACTAATTTGGAGGGATTACTACCACCCCTTATGTATGTTATTGCGATCATCTAGTTAAAGGTTGTACCATTATGCCCGCTCAACCGCTCTTGTATGAAACGACGGGGTCAAGCAAAAAAAGGGAAGACCTAAGATGCAGTTTAAGAAGTTACAAGTGAGCAAATTGAAAAAGTCCACACAAGAGCAGTCGATCTGGTTGTAGTGATCGCTCATTCGAAATCGCTGTAGACTGCGTGAGTTTTGTACGGGACCTTATTGTTCAACTCTATGCTCTGCGAAGTGCGGCTTTGTTTTTAATATATTAAAATTGCATCACTCAAAGCTTCTTTTTTCTTGTAAGATCATTATGAAACGGTCTTTAAGAGAATGAGCTTGGAAAAACCTTTTTGGTTCTGGATGCAAAATAACAACAGTAGAGCATTACTATGTTGTGAAACTAATATATGCACTTTTGCATCATAGCATCGCGACTAGATTAGGAAGATTTTATGTCAAAGGCGACAATTTATCTGTTTTTTTTTCTCTGTTGACTTTGTGTTTTATTTACAAACTGTATATCAACCAATCTATATAATGTTTCCAAGGGTGAAACTGCATAAATTGCGAAACAGATTTGTTCATATTTCCGGTATAAACTCATAAGTTGGAAGTGTGCTCTAAATGTGCAGTATCCTTTGAGTTGAAAAGGTGCCCCAACCTTCAAATGATGAGTTTAAACTCTCAAGACTTTCAAAGAGCGCTCATGAAAATGTTCTTACGATTTGATTTACCTATAAGAGTGGTCAATTCATTCGTATATTATGCCATCTTCTTCGTATGCTTGGAAGTGTTTTTAGTTTATACCTTTGGCAATTACTAGTTACTTTTTTAGGCAAGCTCTACGTTGCTCCAGAACTGCTACGAGATCCGCAGCGAGATGCAACCAAGGAAGGAGACATTTATAGTTTTGCAATCATATGCTCTGAACTAATTGGAGGTACAAGTGCTTGGAACATGGAAAACCGCAAAGAGGACGTGGAAGGTTTTTTTTGTTTGTCTTACACGGCCTATGGCAGTTCCGCTACATTGGTGCACCCTCTCACATAATTTTTTCCTAACAGCTATGCCTTCCGATTCAAATATCAGGCCAAAATCTTCTTGACTTTGTAAGCAAGTAATTCCAAGAAGAGCACAGTTCATCTTTCGAGACTGGAGTATAAAACCGAATTTTGGTATACATACGCTCACACAGCTTTTTGACTTAAACCTCTATC